ACTCCGCCAAGCTCTGTGGTGCACACTAGGGTAAAGTCCCATGGGTGAGAAAAGAGAATGCCCCATCTGGAATGAAGAAGAGGGTCACAACTGAACGAACAGTTACTATCATCACGCAGAATGAAAACAATACCTGCATTCAAAACAGGTTTTCTTTCTTCAAACACCTGCTTAGTGAAGACTTTTAAACATTTTAGTTCCAATCTTGCCTCCAGAGAAGCCCAAGTGGGCAGCAAGTGTCTATCAATATATGCAATATCAAATATATTAAAAAATCAAGATAAATGGTTCAAAAATACTCATTTTTAATTTTTATTTTTTTAAGACAGGGCTTATGTGCAGCCCTGGCTGTCCTGGAACTTGACCTATAGAACAGATTGGCCTTGAACTCAGAGAAAGGGCCTGCCTCTGTCATCTTCCCCCCCTTTCTTAACTATGGAGTTACCATGACTCCTTTTCAGTCAATAAAATGTGTGCTATTCAAAAAGAAAGAAAGAAAGAAAGAAAGAAAGAAAGAAAGAAAGAAAGAAAGAAAGAAAGAAAGAAAGAAAGAAAGAAAGACAGACCTGGACAATCACAGTGGGAGTCAAGAAGGCTACAGCTCAGTGGGCACCCGAGGCTCCCTGTATGCCTCACCTGCTCATAAGAATTCAGTATTTCATTTTCAGCCCTTTGGTCCTGACAGCCCAGGATCTGAGGTTGGCCAGGTCTCCTATGACAGCTCTTTGATCTCTGTAATTAAGTAGGGCAGAAACAAACAGGTACCAGCTTGGAATGTCCTTTAGGAAGGGCTGGATCCCAATGAGATGATGGCAGAGAACCTCCTAAAAGCTCTTCCACGCCATCGAGTATATCACATTAATACTGCTCCAAATTACAGCTACTTATGAAATGCATACAGATTTAGTGAAGTTGCAGTCTGTCTTTCTGACAATGATAGTAATAATAATATTAAGACATATAAAAAGACACGGAGGCACAGTAATTCATCTGCTAGTTACCTCTCTGAGTTCCGGATGTGGCCACTTTTGCAAATCCTTCACAGATTTCCCAAGTTATGATGTAACTCCGATGCTTCAAAAATTACCTGCTCAGCAGGTGCTTGGGCAGACTTGGATTTTTAATTATTATAACCACCATTTATGAGGCATTAACCATGTTCCAGTACTGTGTTAAGCACATCTATAAAAGTAATAATAATAATTGGTCTTTGGGGTAAGCTTTACAAAGAGATGGTTCCCCGTCACAAATAAGAACAACAGGTAGACAGGATTGCTTAAAGAATTAGTCACTGCCCCAGCTGATAGCTATAATCACACCAAGTATGTGAGAGTCAGGAAATACCATGAGGTTACGAAGATTACAAAGGACGGAGATGACTATAATTAGTCACCTTAAAGTGACTACTAGAATGCAATCTCATAATTCATTTCTATCCCTGAAGCTCTGGCTCAGTCTCTCAGAGAACTGTAAGTCAAGGATGCTTCCTTCCCTCCACTTCCCCTCAAAGATCTACGAGGAGCCCCCAGGTACGGCAGGCAGTGCGCTGAGCCTAAGGCTCTCTTGCCCTGTAGCATCTGAATACGCTACAAGGCTGCAGATGGTAGGAGGACTCCTGTGTCAGAAAAGAACTGGCCGTAGCGGCAGGTACACACAAACACCTTCACCTCACTCCCACATACAGAATCAAGTATTTATTTATTTATTTTGTTTTTTCGAGACAGGGTTTCTCTGTGGTTTTGGAGCCTGTCCTGGAACTAGCTCTTGTAGACCAAGCTGGTCTCGAACTCACAGAGATCCGCCTGCCTCTGCCTCCCGAGTGCTGGGATTAAAGGCGTGTGCCACCATGGCCCAGCTCAGAATCAAGTTTTTAAATGTTATTAAAAAAAAAAAAAAGCTATATATGGGCATATATCTGTTTTGTGAAATGTATGATTATCTGAGCCAATATCTGGTGATATTGGACGTAACAGTAAAAAAAAAAAAAAGGAAAGGAAAGGAAAGGAAAGGAAAGGAAAGGAAAGGAAAGGAAAGGAAAGGAAAGGAAAATGAGCTATCTCAGCTTTAAAGCTCACACTTGACAGCTGAGGCGGTGACTCCCCTACAATCCCAGCTGCCAGGAAGATGAGGCCAAGAGAATGGATGTTGCTTTGACAATACCTGGGAAATTTTTTTTTTTTTATTTCTTTTGTTTTTGGTGGGGGGGGGACGAGGTTCTGTGTAATAGTTCTGGCTGTGCTAGAACTTGCTTTGTAGAACAGGCTGGCCTCGAACTCACTGAGATCTGCCTTCCAAGCACCAGGATTAAAGGTGTGCACCACCGTGCTCAGCATACATTGGGAAATCTTATCTCAAAATAAAATATTTTTAAAAATCTGAAGTCAAAAAAGTGGCAGTTGTAACTTAGTGTTAGAAACCTCAACACATATGCACAAGGCCCTGGGTTCAAGCCTACTACTGGAAAAGAAAAAAATTCTTAAATTCAAAAACCTTGCTATAATTACTGCATGTAAAGCAATCTTTTTTTGACTTTTAAAAGGTTGTTCTGTGGGGAGTTGGCTCTGTTGGGAGCACTGACTGCTCTGCCAGAGGTCCCAGGTTCAATTCCCAGCACCCACATGGTGGCTCACAACTGTCTGCAACTCCAGTTCCAGGGAATTTAATGCCTTCTTCTGGCTTCCACAGACATTACTCATACACACACAGGCAAAACACAAACACATAAATAAACCTTTAAAACAAATTGTCCTGTATGAGAAGCTGGCTTGGTCATTTTGCTGTCATATGATGCCATGTTCCACTAGACCAGCCTCAGGAACTGGGAGATCAGTGGCAAGCAGAGGAAGGCTGGGCCAGTCAGTCTCTCAAATTGTCTCAGCACCACAGAGTAGCCCGAGAATGATGCAAATTTAGGGTAGAGGTGTGAGAGTAAAACTGAGTGAGAAGAGGAGGCTATCTCAGCTCTAAGACAGTATCCTGGTCAGAACCCAGCCTTAAGCCTTGGATCCCAGAGAAACATCTGCTCGGTGCCTTCGGCACAACCCTCGGCCGCACAGCTCTGTTGGGAAGCCCACCTTCAGATTTGGGACAGCCCGGAGGGCAGAATCAACACCAGAAGCTGTGTTTACTTAGGTTGTAGTGAGGCAGGCTTCCCAAGGAGTCATATTTACTCAGGCCTCAAAGCTTATTAGCTAGATTAGGGAGCAATTTGCTTACCCTGTCAACCGTTCTCTCTCTCTCTCTCTCTCTCTCTCTCTCTCTCTCTCTCTCTCTCTCTCTCTCGTTTATATGCATCTGTATCTGAGGTCCATTGGTTTGTGGAGGGGGTAGATTGTAGTGCATGGGTGTGGGAGGGCCTCCCAATAGGCTATTTCAAACCATCTATTTCATTTAATCTAGGGGTTCCCCCATCTAAATATTCTTGTTTTAAGATGAAAGGAATGGGCCATTAGCTTTATCCCATTCCTGGCCTCTGCTTGCAGGACTTTGGACCCCATTCTCACTTCCTGAATTTGATTCCATAAAAACGTCCTTGGTCTGGAAAACAAGCAAAGATATCAACAGTCACTGGCTCCCTGCCATTGCTTGTTTCACGGTGAGCCGGTGTGAACCTACCCAACTACCGATTCTTCTATTGCTATGACAAAATGCGTGACAGAAATAACTTTTAAAGAATTTTTTATGGCTCATGATGTCAGCGGGCTCAATCCTTTGTTGCTTGACCCTTGTACTTGGGCAGAGCATCGTTGCTGTGTAGGCACAGGTGAGAACGATTCACTTCATAACCAACCAGGAAGCTGCCAGAAATAGTATAGCCCTGGGACCACAATCAGCGACTTACTTCCCTGGCCTAGAGTTTCCACAGTCCCCCAAAACAGCACTTGTTAAGGGCCAAGCGTTCAAAGCCTAAGTCTATGGGAGGCTTTTCATTTTCAACCCTTAACAGTCTCTGGTTTTATGTGTATAAAGTAATTAGCATAGCACCCAGGTTGTAGTAAATAGTACCTGTGAGCTGTGAGCTATTATCACTGTTAAAACACGGTGGTCTGGGCTGGACACGGCTCAGGGATAGAGTTTGCTTAGCGTGCGTGACAGCCTCAGATCAGCACATAGGACGACAAAAATAATAATAACAAAAATGAAAGTAAAAACCTCTCCTAAACAATTCTTTTTGTAAGCTTATCCTCTTCTTATCCCTTGAGCCCACAGGTAGTAAACACAGGAAAACAGAATTGTTCTGCTCACAGGAACAATCTACATGATAGCCAGGATCCCCCAACTCTTGGAAACTGAAGTAAAACTAGCCACAATCTGTTCAGATTCTACAAAGGAGAAATGATTTTCCCACTCAGGTAAATCAGTGCTGAATCTGATTTTAAACTTCTTGAAGATTCTAGACAATTAGATAACATATGTTGTAAGACTTCTTTAACTCCTGACTTACTGAAGATAGCAAATGGTTTTCTTAGAAACAAAAGAACGGCCCTCTGTTACTCGTTTAGTTCACATTGCATGGTGAGTGTGTGTGTGTGTGTGTGTGTGTGTGTGTGTGTGTGAGTGTGTGTGTAGCAAGCTTACCGCTAAAGACTAACCCTTGAGCCTGAGGTCCCAAACCAAATGCCCTGCGCCACCCTCCTCTGTCTTGTAGGATCCATCTACTGCTCCTGCATAGATGATTCCCCACAAAGCCTCTGTTGCAGAACTGTGGATAAACTAATAGATTTTAGTGTCTGGGGAGAGGGTAGCATGAAGGTATTTAAGGTAATGGGCCCATGCTCTCTAAAAACTATCCAAAACATTTTTTTGAGTGAAACTTTGGCAATCTAAGTACCTACCATGCCTACATTTATCCTGGATCACCAGGATGTCTGTGGGACTTAAAAAAAGAAGTGGGGGCCATGCTTGGAGACACAGTATTTACTCTCCCAGGGATAAACAGAGGCTGTGCCCACCTTTTCCTCCCATGCTCCCAGGTCTGTCACTCTGTCTTTTGTACGCAATTGATTCTTTTTGGAAACCAACTATGGAAGACCTAAGTTCAAGTAGCAATGGATTTGGAGCCCCGAGAGTTGGGGAAACATCACTGCCAAACCTGACCTAGTCCAGGCACCTCTAAGATTTTTCTTTCTCAAGGCCTTGTATTAAGATAAGAGAGCCCTAGCTGCCCTCTGCCCAGAGGGAAGGCTTAAGCGAGTGCCTTAGAAAGCTTCGCTCTGGGGCTAGCCAATTGCGTTCTTAGGAAGCACATGCTCAGCTCTCTAGCGTGAAGCTAGCTGCTGTGGAATGTGTCTGATAGGTCTCTAATCTAAGCGGTAGATTAAAACCTTTTCAATGGCTATAAAACAAATACTCACCATGTTAAAAACCACAACTGAAACTGTGCAGTCAGGTCCAGCGGGGCCTGAGTCCAGAAGGTGTCCTACGGGTGAGCTTGGCATGTGAACACAAAGTGCTTCCAGGAGGAGGTGGAATACGAGCTGGGCTTGCTGTGCCCAGAGAATACTTTTTTCCGCCCCACCTCCACCTTAATCCACCGCTCAAATATTGTCTTAGCAACCGTTTACTGATTAACTCTACCCAGCTGAACAGGCCAGCATCAATGCTGCCGCTGGAATTCTGACTTCTATCGCATCCTCACAAAGTTCCAAGGCCAGAACAGATCTGAGGTCAGCTAACCCAAACTCTCTGTCACTGATAGGCAAGACACCTGAGGACTGCGTCAGCACACTTCCTGGGAAGGCTGATCTTGTTGGCTGTGGCTATCTGGCCCAAAGATCCACCTTTGAAGAAGTAGGGTTAAGAAGTAGTTAAAACACAAAGCACACGTCAACAATCAGGCCCACCAGTGTCATACTAACACCCAAGCATCTCTGAGATTTGATCCACCCCACGGACAAATTGCATGACCATTGCCATTCATTGAATTATGCCTCAACCCAACCCAGACACTAGAGAGGCAGCCATATTGTCGCTATCAAGACAAACCTACAGTCATTGTGGAGGGGGAGTCTGGACCCAATAAGAGCTCCATGGCGGCAAGACTGGCTCTTCCTGTGTACATCCAAGCCCAGCCATCACCGTCTACCCGACACACAACTTTTCGTGCAGTTTTGCTAGGCCACACTGAATTGTGTGATTTGTACTAAATGTTACAGAATTCATTATGAATGAGAGAAATATAAAGCATCGGAAATATGGCAGAAGGTGAGACAGGGATAAAAAGATGGCTCAGCAATTAAGTGTACCAGCTACTCTTCGAGAAGACCTGGGTTTGATTCCGAGCACCCATGAGGCAGCTCACAACTACCTCTATATAAATAACTCTAGTTTCTAGCTCCTGTGGGAACCAGGTATGCATGTGGTATACTGGTATATATGCAAGCAAACACTCATACAAATGAAATAAAATTACATTTTTTTTTTCACTTACCTCTCCAAACGCCTCTGGGTTTCTCTATTTGGAGAGATGTTCCCATTCGTGAGAAAAGTGATGAAGATACTGCTTCCATTAGAAGACAGCTTGATAACGGTCCATGTGAAGTCAAAGGCAAACACTGGGCTAAAATCCTTACATGGTATCTTCCAGCAGCTCAATGAAGTGCATGTTCTTGTGAGCCCATCTGCAAGATGGAGAAACGAAACTTAGAATAATAGAGACTTCAGAGACCAGAGACCCTGAGGTAGTGCCTGATTCTGGGAAAGGAGCAAAGACTGGGCTGGGTTTTAAATGTTGGGTAGATTCTGATATCAATAGTTAGGTAGAAAGGCAGAAGTTCTGTGAGGAAACATGGTGTGGGAAGTCCTTCTTTATATACCTTGCTTTTTCTAGTTAATAAAGAAGCTGTTTTTAGTCCGCGGCTTAACAGAATATAGCCAGGCTGGAAGAGATATAGAGAGAAAGTGGGCAGGGTCAGTGAGAAGCCATGGAGCCACCAGAGGGGAAAGACATGAGCAGCCAGCTGGAACCTTGCCAGTAGGCCGCGAGCCTCAAGGAAATATTTAAAATAATAGAAATGGGTTAACCAAAGATATAAGAGCTAGCTAGCAATATGCTTAAGTGGCTAACCAAGCAGAGATTTAAATAATAAAGTTTCTGAGTGGTTATTTCGTGGTCTGGGCAGGTAGAAACAAAAACAAGTGGCCTCCTACTACAGATTGGTGGCCCATGTGGCTAACTAACTCCACTTAAAACCTGAGAGAGTTTGGGAAGGAATTCTAGACACACACACACACACACACACACACACACACACACACACCAGAGTTCAGTTTCTTGCTTTGTTTGCTGGTGGCAAGCAGAGACATGGCTCCTTTAAGAGGTTTCCTGACTCAGCTTTAGTGGCAAGAACTTCATGGATTCTTTAAGGGAAGGGTTCCTGATTCGTGCCAGTTACAGGAACAACTCTGACTCTTTTCAGAGCCAGTACCCAGGGCCACTGCAACCAAGCTGCTCACCATTTTAAAAACTCTCCAGGGCAGAAAGGGATTACAGATAAACAATAGGACAGGTTCAGACATAAAAGACTTCTAAATAAGACACATGTGTTTTTTTTTTTTTAATGTACACAGGCTTTGGAGAAAGAAGAAAAAGACTATAGAGAGTTATAAAAGGATGTAAATGGTTTATAATAAAATAAATATTAAAAAGTAATAGAGTAAAAACAAATGAGCCATGTTAAGATGGAATATACACAGAGAGCCTGGATTATGTATATTATTGTGTTTTCTTTGAATTTTTTGACTGTGAAGGAGCTAAGTACAAAGAGACATTTTACTGTATGGGCTGCTAAGCTAAACCAACCTATATATTTAAAATGTATCCTGATTCCAAAATTTGGGTCTAAGGATTTGTTGCTTTGGAAAAGAAGTCCTGCTTTTGTTTCCACAGAAGATGAGAACCTGTGAATCAATTTCAGACTAATGTAATTTGATGAACCAAGACCCCCTGAAGGTCGCCATAAACACCCCCCTAAATACTTTGTCCAACAAAAAGCAGGAAGCAGTTTGGAAAGAACTGAGCCCAAATTCCTAAGTATTTGTTTATAGATGTTTGTTTACATTTAAAGAGAAAAAATATACTATAGAGATTTGCATTGGTATGGATCTTGGTTTACTGATACAAATTAAGATAAATATACATATTTATTTCTGCTCTTGATCAAGGTATTGTGTTTGTGCAGCTTATTTGAAAATGTAATGCATAATTAAGAACTATAGGTTAGTAAATAATCATCTATAATAGTCAAGCTTATAGTCATGTTAGTTAGGCACGGTGGTATACTCCACAATACCAGCACTCAGGAGGCTAAGGATGGACACCCTTACACCCTAGGCCAACCAGGACTACATAGAGAGATATTGCTTCAAGATAGAGTCAGGATTGGAAGGGAGACAGGGAAGGGAGAAATCAAGAAAACACATAGTGCTTGATAGAAGTTTCAGACATGCAACAGGAGTCGGCTGGGTCTCAGAAAATGAAACACCAAAGTCCAGCCCTGGGACAGGCTGAGCGTTTTTTATTAACGGCAGCTGGAAGGCCTTGCTCAGCTTCCCTTGTTTCTCCCTGCTCTCCAAGCTCAGCAAGAGGTTTCTTTTTGAAATTACCTTACCAGACCCAACAAAAGGACAAGGTTGCTTTCTATCCCCTTCAAGGCTCCATTAGCCAGGAAAAATTAAACTCAAGACACAGTAGCGGCTGTCCCCACATCTAGACACCATGGTCACAAGCCGTGGTCAGCTCTTCAGCCCATTTAGGCTCCCAACACCATTATACATTCTTTGGGTCCATTCAACATCCAACTTGAAAAATCCTCTCCTACTCCCCAAATTTACCTACTGGCCTAGCTCGATTTCCATTGTTGTGATGTAAACACCGTGACCTGAAGCAACTGAGGAAAACAAGAGTTTATTTCACTTTACACTTCCGCCTCACAGTTTGACAACACTGAGGGAAGCCAGGGCCGGGACTCAAGGAAGGAGTCTGGAGGGAGGAATGATGAAAGGAAGCTTCCCAAGGAACTCACGCTCAGCTACCCATCCTATACAGCCTAAGCCCACCTGCCTAGGGATGGTGCCACCCGCAGCGCGTTGGCCCCCTTCTACATTAATTAGCAATCAAGAAAATGTAGCTGTACTCAGCAGCCAATCAGATAGATTCTTCAGCTGCTGTTCCTCTTTCCAGACAGGTCTCACTAGATTGTATCAAGTTAACAATAAAAACTCATTAGCGTGAGCTTCCTCTCTCCACTCCTCTGAAGACCCGCACACAGTGTCTGGGTCTCATCTGGTTCCTGAATCCCCTTCCGTGGAGCCTTTGTGCGTGTAAATGAGTTTGGATCCTTGAGCCCCTTTAGGCTTACTGTCTGTTCACTGCAGTGAACCTTCATGGGGTAGCGGGAGCCACTCACCACCTAAGTTCATTAGGCAAAGAAGAGAAGCAGGTGCAGAGCAATGTGAAACAGCGTGGAGGTATGATGAACTTTCCAGGAGCCAATGGAAAGTCAGAAGGTGATTCAAGAAAGGCCGGGGAAGTCAGCCCTCTGTTGAGATAGGAGCGGCAGGGCTGTGTCCCTGGCACCTGGCCGCCCGCATGGCTAGCTAATGCCCGAAATAATTACACGGAAACTGTATTCTATTAAACACTGCCTGACCCGGCTAGTTCCAGCTTCTTATTGGCTAGCTCTTACATATTGTTCTAACCCATTTCTAATATTCTATGTAGCCCACAAGCTGGCTTACCAGGAAAGATCTTAACCTGCGTCTGTCTGGAGCGGGAGAATCATGGCGACTCCTGACTCAGCATCTTTCTCCCAGCATTCTGTTCTGTTTTCTCCGCCTACCTAAGGGTTGGCCTATCAAATGGGCCTAGGCAGTTTCTTTATTAATAAGAAATCACTCCCACATCAGCCCTCGAAGGTGGATGAGTGGGCGCCAAGGGAATGTGAGTTGTGTCCCAGCAGTGGCAGGGAGCTTACAAAGATGTTTAAGTTAGGAGGCTGCCTGACCTAATTCGTTTTAAAAGGCTGCCCTGGTGATTAGTGGGGCGGCCGAATACTGAGCAGGGTTCAAAGAAGGAAGGGAATTAGTAAGGGAGTTGGTGACTCAGCACACATGGCCAGGAGTGGCCGAGCAAAGACAATAGAGAAGACGGGAGATATTTCCCCGGGCTCTTGAGAAATGGGCTTGACAATTAGATGGGAAAGGTCAGAGAGTGAGAAAGGTTGGCACTGCTGGCCTGGTCTGACAAGTCACGGTGTCACCAGACACCAGCACAACAGATAGATGCAGAAGGGAGAGGCAAGGAGGGAATGGGGACACCAAGCTCCTCATCCCTCCTCGGGGTCACAGCCACCAGTCCTATCACTGAAGACAGGCCAACAAAAGAGAAGGAAATGTAACCAATGCCATGGGGGCTTTTGAAAACAAAGACCTAGAGACCAAGGGGAAAGTTTCTGTTCTATGCATAGATTCCATGAAGA